TTAAAATACCAGAAAACACAATAACGTTTGAAAGACTAAATGAATTTACTATTTTGGAAATGCAACTGTGAAGCTAAATGAACTTTAATGAAGAACTTCTTTAACACTCACTTTAAAGAACTTATTTTGAAGAAGTTCATTAAACTTGATCAAACTTCATGGTCGCTTTTCTTAAATAATAAATTCATTTAGGCTTATTGTATTTAAAACGTTTTTCTGTTTTGTTTTATTTTAAATATAATAATCTTCCATATTCCATCAGTCATGTTAGATTAGGTTAGGGTGGGGTTAGATTAGGTCAGAAAATACTAAATAACAATAATGGATTTGGGAATCTAATCTTACCTGAAACGCAGAAATTTGTGGGATAGGATTTCTAAAAATTAGTAGAAATGGAAAATAGTGTCATCTTTTCGTCCATTATAATTTCCGGATACAAAGATTTCAACCTTGTAAATTTATTTCGGTAATATTTAGAATTTAACGTCATAAAAATTCGCAGAAGTGGCATGTTGTGTTACCTCCTCGCATGTTATACTCTCCTGGTGTAACGTTTCAGATTTTGATTCTCATATTTTGCGAAGAATTTCGTGTGTAAAATAGAAAAAAAATAGTTTCTCGCCACCTAGCGGCAGTGTTGGGCAGTCGTGAGATTTTATCACACGTGAGAGCTTTATGTGCATGCGTCAGGTGACGTCACAGCTTGCTGCCAATGCCGTACCTAGCCGGTACACGCAGTGGTGACTGATGAGGGCACCTTAATGTTCCTACATAATTTTTCAAAAATTCTTATAATTGCACTGTAAACTATGAATGTATAGGTTGGGTTAGATTACATTAGGCTGGGTTAGGTTAGTTATATATATGACTGTATATATATATATAGTTGTATATATATATATATATATAGTTGTATAGTTTTATACAGTCATATATATAACTAACCTAACCCAGCCTAATGTAATCTAACCCAACCTATACATTCATAGTTTACAGTGCAATTATAAGAATTTTTGAAAAATTATGTAGGATCATTAAGGTGCACATAAAGCTCTCACGTGTGATAAAATCTCACGACTGCCCAACACTGCCGCTAGGTGGCGAGAAACTATTTTTTTTCTATTTTACACACGAAATTCTTCGCAAAATATGAGAATCAAAATCTGAAACGTTACACCAGGAGAGTATAACATGCGAGGAGGTAACACAACATGCCACTTCTGCGAATTTTTATGACGTAACACAACATGCCACTTCTGCGAATTTTTATGACGTTAAATTCTAAATATTACCGAAATAAATTTACAAGGTTGAAATCTTTGTATCCGGAAATTATAATGGACGAAAAGATGACACTATTTTCCATTTCTACTAATTTTTAGAAATCCTATCCCACAAATTTCTGCGTTTCAGGTAAGATTAGATTCCCAAATCCATTAATGTTATTTAGTATTTTCTGACCTTTTTAAGAAATCTAGGTAATCTAACACAAACGAATCAATTATTCTAATCAATGAGTTCACAATTTCCATCAACTACACAGGACACTTCTCAATATTTAACTTCCTCAATGACGTCTCCACGCAACACTGGGAAATTTTCAACTGTGCAATTTACAATAATTGCGCAATTTATTGCAATATTAATAATACATCAAAATAAAATAGAATTCTTAATGATCTCATTTGCGAAATCGTAGAACTCTGGCTGTAGAGAAATACTGTAATACTCAGAATATAATTTTTAATAAGATATTATATTATTTATACCGATCTTTTAGATAATTCTTATCGCATGAATCACTTACCACGTTGCTATATGACAGTTCGCAATTCTTCCAAGAAACTCGGGAATCCCGTACCTACAATCACAAAAATTATTAGATGATTCCATGGATTCATTACAAATTATTCGTAAACAAGTTTCGTATTATACAGGGTGTCCCGCAATTAGTCCGTATTTTCTGACCTAATCTAACCCCACCCTAACCTAATCTAACATGACTAATGGAATATGGAAGATTATTATATTTAAAATAAAACAAAACAGAAAAACGTTTTAAATACAATAAGCCTAAATGAATTTATTATTTAAGAAAAGCGACCATGAAGTTTGATCAAGTTTAATGAACTTCTTCAAAATAAGTTCTTTAAAGTGAGTGTTAAAGAAGTTCATCATTAAACTTCATTTAACTTCACAGTTGCATTTCCAAAATAGTAAATTCATTTAGTCTTTCAAACGTTATTGTGTTTTTTGGTATTTTAAATTAAATAATGTCCCTTATTCCATCAGTCAGGTTAGGTCATATTATGTTAGGTCAAAGCTAGAGTTAGGTCATATTAGGTTAGGTCAGGGTCTAAGGTTAGGTTGTATCAGGTTAGGTTTGGGGACCTAACACATATCATTCCCCAATTACTGGACAATAATTACTCTATTATAAGAGTAATTATCTCGAGTAATAATATCTAGATAATAATATCTAGAGTAATAATATTGCTCTATTATAAGAGTAATTATCCTTATTACTCTTATTATTTTCAGTACAACCTATTATTACTCACACTACTATTGTTATTATGGTTAGAACTATTATTATTATCCTTATTACTCTTATTATTATCAATATTATTACCCATATTACGACTATTATTATCGCTGGAACTGTAATTATTCTTACTACTCTTATTATTATCAATATTATTACGCATATTACTACATTTATCATTATTATCCTTATTATTCTTATTGTTATCAATATTATTACGCATATTACTACTTTTATCATCATTATCCTTATTATTTTTATTGTTATCAATATTATTACGCATTTATCCACTTTTATCATCACTATCTTTATTATTCTTATTATTATCAGGATTATTACGCATATTACTACTTTTATCATCATTATCCTTATTATTTTTATTATTATCAA